CGCCAACCTCAGGCATGGCGGCGAGCGGAGAGAGAAAGCTGACGGCTCGGGCGCGAGCACGCCAACGGGGAAAGTGTCCGCCTGGACTTGACTCCAGGAAGGCCTCGGAAAAGAGGCTGCCTCACTCAAATGGGGCCTGTCCCCACCTTGAGCCAAAATGGCAACGGAGGAGGAGGAGGAGGAGGAGGAGGAGGAGGAGGAGGAGGAGGAGGAGGAGGAGGAGGGGGGGGGAGCTGCGGGCGACTGGTACCCCGTGAGAGCCGACGGTGCGAGACACACACTGAGACGCCTTGAACACATTATAACCGGATCCCTAATAGGCTCGACCTGCGGCATTCTTGATCGGCTGGACGCAGGGGTGGCCCCTGGCCAGAGCGGCCTGTCGTGCGCTGCAACTGGTGGGGCCGCGGGGAGGCCTCACACAAGCGCGCAAGACGCCACCATCGCATCGCGCTCGGCGGTCGCGGGGCGTCAGAGGGCCCGCACCAACGGTCACTCCAGCGCAGGGTCACTCTTACGTGTAGACGATTTACCCAGACATGCGACGGCATGATTTTTTTTTGGCTTTCACTTCGTCGACACCCAGGGGTCTGGACCCCTTCCCCAGGACCGGTTTCTCATCAGAGTGTGTTTTGACGGTCCCGGGGCCCCGGTGAAGGCTCCCAGAGGCCGAAAATAGAGGGAAACTTCCCGTCGTGATTGTTGTCATGACTCGAGGGGGTCTGGGCTGTGAGGGTCCAGCACGAAGCCTGGCGAACACGCCCGACTCGAACAAACACGCGGCGCCAGGATCTCAGGGTTGGGGAGCAGGCCTGCCGCCGCCGGGGAGGCGGAGCGGCGCGGAGCGACGCGAGCGCCTGAGGCGTGCGCGGTGCTCATGGATAACCCGCCGCCGTGGAGGCCGCGGGCGTGGCCGTGGGAGGCCTGCCTCCGAGGGGGCGGGCCCAGAGGGTAGAGAAGGAGGGAGGGGGGCGAGGTGGGGAGGGATCAGTTTTTGATGTGGGCCGCTGCAGGCTAGGCTCCTGAGAGGACTAGCTATAGTAGAGTCCTCCTAGGTGGGGTCCGAGTAGATGGGTTCGGAGGATTGCACCAAATCGCCGACGCATCGCCGAAGCATCGGCGATGCGTGGGCGATGCAAAGGCGACGTCGGCGATGCATCGGCGACGTCGGCGTGGCGAAATCGGGCTCCGCATCGATCCGCATCGCCGATGCATCGGCGATGCGGCGAGATCCTCCGACAACATCTACTCGGACCCCATCTGGGAGGCCTAAAACCTAACAAGCAGGAAAGTGAGGCTGGCGGGCTCACAACGCCCTCGCCGAAACTCGACAACCAGCTGCATGACTAGCGCGCACATTACAAGGCCGCTACGACCGGCATGAGCGACCAAGATTCTGGCAGGACCAGAGGGGCGGAGCGAGAGAGGGAGGAGGCGGAGAAGGGGGACCCTGAGATCCTGGCGCTGTATGTTCGTTCGAGCTGGGCGCTTTCGCCAAGTTTCCCTCCCCAGGACCCTCACAGATCGATCTGGCTCAAACAAAAAGCGTAGGAAGGCCGGGCGGAGGGGGAGGGTCTCAGTGAAGGAGAAGGAGAAGGGGGTGGCGAGGTGGTGGTGGCTACGGCATTGAGGCGGTCCCCGTGCCAAACTGTGGCGAGGCGAGAGGGACGGGGGGGGGAAGATGGGGAGGGACAAGGACAAGAACGAGGAGAGGCGAGGGGAAGCGGAGGTGTGGGCGGGCAAGGACGTTCGAGCAGGAGTAGCATGAGGAGGGGAAGTGAGTAGGGGGGAGGGAGGAGGAGGAAGGAGGAGGGGTGACCGCGGAGGACCATCCTCCACCTGTACAGGGGAGCGGCCCTCCTCGGCCACCTCCTCCAACTCAGACTCAGTCACCCCCTCCTCCTCCCCCCTCTTCCTCGTCCTCCTCCTCCCGCAATCTTCTCGTGCCTCCTCCCCCGGGAGCGCTCGGCCCTCCTGCTCGTCCTGCTGCTGCCGCCGTCCTCTCCTCCAGGAGCAACAGACCACCGCCCTTGTCCTGCAAGAGGGCGCTTCAAACAGACGTCGAGGGTAGGGGATGGGGGATGCTCCCCTTTCGTCCCCTCCTCGGCAAGGGGGAGGGCGGGGGAGGGGGAGGGGTATGGATGGAATGTAAGAAGGCGCTCTGAGGTTCAACGAATGCTTCGAGAGGGTTGACATGAGGGGGAGGATGGGTGGGCAAACCGGGGGGGGGGGGGGGGCGAGTCGTCCTCCCACCCCCCTCTTACACCGCCACTTCCCATCCGGCTCCCGTTCCCACTCCAGCCATCAATTGCAGCTGTCACGAACGCACTACCATTCGCACCCCCTCCCACTCACACTGGCAAACCCACCGCCGCTCTCTCCCAACACGCCGTGTTTCGCTGACGTCTTTGTCCTCGCGGTCCCACCCAACCTCTTCCTCTCCATCCTTCAGCCTCCCCCTCCTCGTCCGCCTCCACCTGCTCAAACTTTTGCAGATCCTTCTGATCTGACTTCCCCTGCCTCCCCCCCTCTCCATCCCACCGATCCTTGACATCCGACGTCGCGAAACATGGAACCTCCTAAACAAAAAAGTGGCCAGAGCCCTGGACCCCATTTTCATGAGGAATCTTTCGAGCAGGATCGATCCTTAGGAGCCTGGGGGCCAGAAACAAGGCATCATTGCCAGTTGTTGAAAATGTGCGACACCAGGATATCCGGGAACCTCAGCCGTCGGCGACGACGAGAACGACGTGGACCCCACTTCGTGGCGGGTCGCTCCTGAGGGTGCCCGAGCGACGGCCCGCCCGGACGCCTTTCCCGCAAGGGCGACAGCGACGATCGCGATGACGGCGACGACGACAACGACAACAGCGACGACGACGACGACAGCGACAGCGACAGCGACGACGACAGCGACGACAACGACGATCGCGATGACGACAGCGACGACGACAACGACGACAACGACGACAGCGACGACGACAACGACGATCGCGGTGACGACGGCGGCAGCGACGCCGACGCGGACGGCGACGAGAAAAAACAGCGACGACGAGGGCGACGGCACAGACCACGACGACGGCGGCAGCGGCCTCCAAGGCTTCCAGGGCCTCCAGCGACTGCGCGTGGCGCTGGGCCGCCGCCTCTCGCGCACAGGGAAGGGTAGGGAGGCGGGATGGCGTTGGGTGAGCAGCGCAAGACGAAGCCAAGACGAGGATACAATCGGGTGAGAATACACGACGGAGAAGTTCTCAGATACGGCGGTTCTGGGGGTGGTTCGGGGCCAAAGAGGGTCTTTTGTGATGGGGTCGCAGAAAACATGTAATAGCTCATCCTGTGGCTCATGGCGCGTGGCCTCTCTGACGGACCAACCAACGATACCCAATGCAACGCATCCTGCCCGCATCCACCACGATCCAGCATGAACGATTGCACGAACTACTGCTTACATTCTGAGACCCCCTTTGCAAGGGACCACTTCGCCCGAATCTGCGTCCTTCTGGACAACTCCTCCCTGTTGCGCCCCCGTCCCCAGAAGTGGCGGCATGGCGGCTCTATTCTCAATCCTCTGCGTCTGGGAAACATTCAGCCCAAAGCCGCCATCAGCCGCCCGGCCAGCAGCGCCGGTGCCGCCGCGGCCAGCGGAGGCGCGCTAGCGCCGCCAGGCCGCTCCAGAGCGCCCAGCGAGGCCGCCGCCTTCGACGGCGCCGATAGATCGTCGGCGTCGAAGTTCGACGGCGTGGCGTGGACAAGATATCGACGACGTCGACGTCCTCGCCGTCGTGGCGGCTGTCGTGGACGTCGCTGTCGACATCGTCGTCTTCGCTGTGGCCGTCGTCATCATTACCGATCACGACGTCGCCATCGACGGCGTCGACGACGGTGAGGTCGTCGTTATCGCCGTCGTCGACGCCGTCGCAGCCGTGATGCTGCCGCCGCTTTCACCAGGTGGCTTCATTCGTCACGATCGTCGTCGCCGCCGCGCCGTCCTCACCACCAGCGTCGCCGCCGTCGTCGACGCAGTCGCCAAGCTCGCCGCCGCGGTCGTCGTCAACGTCGTGGTCTCCGTCGCCGTTGAAGCAGCGTTTGCCGCCATCGCTCCAGGTTGGCCCAGCTCGAAAGACAAACGGATTGTCTCTACAGCTGGGCCCTCCCTAACCACGGCGCGTGCGCACATGTCGCCTGCTGCCGCTGCCGCCGTCCGCCGCCTCAGTCGCCGTGCGCGCCGACGTGGCCGCCGCCGCCGCCGTGGTCGAAGTATCGTTCGCCGCACTCGAGAAGATGCGATCGCTGTTCGGGCGTCGACGGTCAGTCGTAGTCAGCATCGTCGTCTGCCGTCGGCGCCGCCGTCGTCGGGGAGCACATGGGGGGACAAGTATGGAAGAGGGGGGGCAATCAGGAGGACGACGCCTCTTCCTCATTCTCCTCCTCCTCCTCCTCCTCTCCTCCTCTCCTTCTCTTCTTCTTCCCCCTCTCTCTCTTCGCTCTCCCTCCCCTGTCCCCGTCCGCATCAACTTACCTCACCCTCCCTTCCCCCACCCCGCCACCCTCTGGGTCCCCCTTCTCTTCCTCCTACTGCTCCTCCAGCTCCTCATCCTGCTCCTCCCCCTCCTCATCGTGCTCCTAGGATGGCGATCATGACGACGATCATGATGACACCGACCAAGCCGATCACGACCACTGTCACGACTACGACGACAATCACCAGAAACGACCACGACGACAACTATTACCAAGACCACAATGATGATGACGACGACCATGATGAGAATGACGAAGACGACCACAAGGACCACCAAAACCATAACGACGACTACGACGGCGACCATGGCGATCCCGACAACGACGACGACGACGCCGACGACGGGCATGGCAAACACAAAAGCTGAAACAACAACGACGCCGAAGACGCCGCCGACGACTACCACCACGACGGCGACCGCGCTGACGCCGGCGCTTGCGGCGGCGCTGGCCCCAGCGATGGCGGCGGCGGTGCTTTTCTGGCCGCCCCGCACCGCCCGCGTCGGCTGGCTGGGACTCCGCACCGGGGCCCACCGAGGGGCCGAGGAGGAGGGCCGGGCGTTGCCAAGGTGCCTCTGGCCGCCTGGCCCAGGGTGCTGGCAGGATTTCCAGAGGCCCCCACGGCCTACGGCCTACAGAGCGCCCCCTCGCGAGGCTCGGAGGGCCCCCCTGTGGCCCCAGGATGCAGCAGAAAACGCCCTGGGCGGCCCGAACGAGGGACGCCCTCGGCAACCCCCGAGAGGGGGCCGACCCGCGCTCGGGGCCCGCGGGTCAGGCGAGCGCGCCCGCGGTGCCCTGAGCCACGGAGGCGGCCGTGGCGTCGCGCCGAGCGCACGCCCGCGGCGCGGGCTCAGCACTGGCCGCGGAGCCCTCGCGGCGCTCGCGCGCGGACGGCGCGCGGGCGAGCCACGGCGCGCGGCGACAACGACGCCGACGGCGCGCGGCGAGCGAGGAGCGAGGAGCAGGCGAAGAGCGACGGCGACGGCCAAGGACGACGGGCGGCGTCGACGGCGGCGCCGGTGGCCATTGACGGCGGCGACGGACGGCGAGCGACGAGCGACGGTGACTTCGAGTGTGACTGTGACCACGACGGGCGACGACGACAAAGACGGGCGACGACGACGCCGGGCGACGGGAGACGGCGACGGGCGGCGGCGACGAGGCCGTCGGGGGCCGCGCGGGCCTCCTCGCCGCCGCTCGTCGCTTGTCGTCCTCGTCGTCGTCGTCGTCGTCGTCGTCGTCGTCGTCGTCGTCGTCGTCGTCGTCGTCAGCGCTGAACCTTCCTTTCGTCGCTCGTGGCCGTCGTCGCTTGCTGTCGCCGCCGCGCTGGCCATCGCGATTCGTCGTCGTCTCCGCCTGACGGCGCCGCCCGTGGCTTGCCGTCGTCGTCGGCGACGCTCGTTGTCCTCGCTGGCGTCACCATCGCTCGGGCCGCCGCCGCCGTCGCCATCGCCGCCGCCGCCTGCGTCGTCGCCGTCGGGGCGGCAGAGCTCCGCCACCAGGCCTGCAGCAGCTTCGAAGCGTGCAGAAGCTCGGAGAAACCTCGGACGTCGGGAGCGATGGCGTGGGCCGGCCCCTCCGGCGTGCCCCCTCATGAACTCGTCCTCCGCGTCGTCTACCGCGTCGTCGCTTGCGTCACGTCGTCATCTCACAAGTCTCGTCCTCGAGCATGATCCTTTTCCCTTTCTGCTCCTGCTCCTCCATCTCTTCTCGCCCAACGCGTTTCCTCATCACCCTCCTCATTATCGTCCAAGACGTCTTCCTCCGCCACGCCCTCTTTCTCGTCCTCCTGCTTATCGCCCTCGCCGTCCTCTTGCTCGTCCCTCCTCCGTCTCCTCCTGGTCCTCCTCCTCTGCTCATCCTCGTCCCTCCTCCGGCTCCTCTGCATCATCCTCGTCCCTCATTCTCGCCATCTTTTTTACTCCTCGCCCTCGTCCTCGTGGGAGTTATCGACCTCGTCCTCGTCCTGGCCCACTCGTCCTCGTCCTCGTCCTCGTCATCCTCATTCTCCTCCTCCATTCTGGGGATGCAGGAATACAAACAACGACATCGAGAAGGCGGTGCTAGGGACCGCGCTGGCACACCGCACAGAACGACAAAACGGTGCGAAACGCGAGACATCAAAATCCGCTGGTCCGGCTGGACAATACCATGTGAGATCCAACCTCTGTTGCTCCTTCGTCCTACTTCTCCGTCCTCCTGATTCCCCCTTTTCCTCCACCACATCCCGTTGCCAATCAGGCTCAAAATGCTTTGTTCTCCAACGGGCAAGTGGATCCCTGTGATCCGATGCCAGACCACAGAGGATCCAGGCTCATTGTGATCCACCTCCCGACCTGCCCGCCCACAGTCTGTTCGCCCAGGTTGGTGTCAGCTTAGTTGTGAGCTCCTTTGGGAGCAGTACATTGTGCCAGGCATGGTGTGGAAGCATCGTACCCCCATGGTGCTATAAGAGCTCTGCCAACAATCGGAGCCGCAAAGGAGGATGCAGTTTCTGCTCGAAGTGTATCCACTGAGGATTTGACAAACGCAGGCATTGGGCATGCTCCCAGTGCGGAGAAGAGTCCTTGTCGAAAGGGAGTGGTGGTCGTGCTGCTGTCCATGATGGGCAATCCCAGCACGTACCTGACTCTCTTCTTGCTCAGTTGGCCTAACTTGCGGCTCACCTGTGAGCCATCCTGTAATTGCCCCGGAGGCCATCTACACCCTGCAAAATGCTTTAGAAATCATGGGTTAAGAAATTCATAGTCTCAGAAATTGAATAAAAACCCAGAACTTCTATCAAAATCTTGGGATTTACATTGAAAAGTTAAGAGTAATCGAGACTCTGGACGAAGACTTAGGTTTTCTTAAGCATCGCCTAAGGTGTAGGGTCCCTCTTGTGGCCTCCCTGCTGACTCTGGCAAGTTCCTGGCCCAGAACGATCCCCATCGCACCTCGAGACGGGTCGGAAGGCCGGGCCGGACGTGTCGCTCGAGACTTCCTCACCACTTAGCCAGGGCTCCCAGCTTCGCGCTTCGCGCTGCGCGAAGCGCGAAGCGCGAATAACTTCGCGCTCTCGCGCCGCCCTCCCAAAGGGAGAATAGGAGGACGAGGAGGAGAAGGAGAAGGAACGAGGACCGCGAAGCGCGAATAACTTCGCGCCCTCGAGGGAGCCCTTGCTTAGGATCCTGAAGCTGAGACTGTGTGGCAGCTTCACGGATGGAGGGCGGGCCGTTCTCAAAAGATTGCTCTCGCCATAGTGCAGCGCACATTCGTCTTGAAAGTGTGTAAGGGCTGCACGGATGGAGGGTAGGCCGCTTTGGTGATGTGGCTCTCGCCTCAGCGCCGCGCAATTCGTCTGAAACGTTTGCAATAACTTCACGGACGGAGGAAGTGCCGTTTTAGAAATGCGGCTCTCGCCTTATCGATGCGCACATTCGTCGTACCGTTTGCAGGAGTCTCATGGATTCATGGATGGAAGGCGGGTCGTTTCCAAATATGGCTCTCGCTTGGGCGCCACGCGCATTCGTCTTAAACGTGTGCAGACAGTTTCGCGGGTGAGGGTGGTTCCTTTTCAAAGTGTGGTTCTCGCTTTCGCGCCGCGCACATACGCCTGAAGAGTCTCTATCAGTTTCAACGATTCTTGTCGTTGACATCCTAGGTATGGTGTTGTGGCACGAATTGGGTGTGTCAGGACGCATGGGCCACGTTGATTTGCAGCGTTAAAGTCCCATGAACGGTGTTGTGGCACGAACTCCAAAGAATGGTGCTTTGGCATGGTTGAACACTTCGCGCAATGAAGCTACACCTTTGTTGGGACCTATGAAGAGGGACCTCGGAGAATTGGTTGATTGCATCCATCATCGTTGATGAGTTTTGGCTTTGCACTGCTCCCCCTCCTCCTCCTCCTCCTCCTCCTCCACCTATGCCACCCTCGTCTTCCCACATCTCATCCACCTTCATGTTCCTTCTGCTCCCCCTGTTCCACCTGCGTCTCCACCTGTTCTTCTCCCTCCTCCTTCTCCTTATCATTCTCCTCCTCCTCCTCCTCCTCTTCCTCCTTCTCCTCCTCCTCATCTCCTCTTCTCCTCCCCTCTTCCTCCTCCTCCTCCTCCTCCTCCTCCTCTCCTCCTCCTCCTCCCTCTCCTCCTCCTCCTCTCTTCTCCTCCTCTTCTCCTCCTCCTCCTCCTCTCCTCCTCCTCCTCCTCCTCCCCCTCTTCTCCCTCCTCCTCCTCCTCCTCCTCCTCCTCCTCCTCCGCCCCCCCGCTCCTGTCCCTCCATCCTGCACCCGCTCTGCCCTTCCTCCTTCTCATCCTCCTCTCTCCTCCACCCCCTCCCCCCCTCCCCCCCACCTACTCTCGCCCCCGACCCCCCTCCTCCACCCCGCTTCCTCACGCCTCCCTCTCCCCCCTCCCCCCCTTCCCCCCACCTGCTCTTCCCTCTCCCCCCCTCCCCCCTTCCCCCGCTACTCTTCCCCCCTCCTCCACCCCACCCGCGCTCCTGCGCGTGCGGGTGCAAGGGACGACGGCGACGACGCCGACAACCTCTGGCGGTCTTCGGGGGTCCCACGCGGTCTTCGAGGCTCGAGGATGGCAAAGAACGAGCCAGCAGCGCCCCAAAGGCCCCGGTCATCGAGCCTCGGCCAGCAACGGCGACACAGACGACAACGACGACGACGACCGACGACCCGCGACGACAACGACGATGACGACGACCGACGACGACGACCGACGGCGATGCAGACGACGGACGACGACGACCCCGAGGGGGGAGCGGCGGAGCGCGCGCGGGGCAGCGGGCGGACAATCCTGAAAAATCCCCTGGGCCACAACGTCAGGGCTCGCCTGCGGGCGGCGCCGCCGCCGCCCATGCCGTCACCGCCGCCGTCGTCGCCGCCGTAGGTCGAGGGTCGAGGATCGAATCGAGGCACGTCGATGTTTGCGGTCCTCTTGTGCGCCTCTCAGGGGGGGCCTCCTGGGCGGGCCTGCAAGGATCTCCGGAGGCCAACTGGGAGCTCTGGGGGCCCCGGACGCTTCTCTAAGGGTCGTCGTCGGGGGAAGAGGGGGGGGAGGAAAGAGGACGAGCGGATGGGGAGGCGGAGGCAGGTCGGAGGGGGAGGGCAGGGGAAGCGGAAGGGACCTGGTGGGAGGTGGAGGGAGGGAGAGGCCTGGACAGCAGGGGGGACGTGGAGGAGGAGGAGGAGGAGGCAGGGAAGAGGGGCGGGAGGAAGCGAAGGCCCACGCACGGCCGGAGCGAGAGCGAGGCGGCGGCCACCCCCCGCTCCAGCTCTCTCTGCTCCAACTGCTGCCGTCCCTCCTCCTTAGAGGAAAGAGAACAATGCACATACACCGACTCTGGCCAGGCCCATCCTGAGCCCAGGATCGGTGCATACGCCCTCTATCTTGGCCAGAAAGGTATATGCACCGATCCTGGGTCAAGGATGGGCCTTGCCAGGATCGGCGCACGTGTATAGTTTACCAGCCTGGAACATATCCCTATCCCTATGCTGGGCATCGCCCCATCACGATGCCAATCTCAGGGATTCCCTCAGTTTTTGAGGGCGCATCCCTAAGATTGGCATCGCCTTTCGGCGTGTCAATCTCAGGCATGGGGATAAGTTCGAGGCTGGTGAATAGTTCTCTTCGCCCAGTTCCTGCAGTCCCTCCTCTCCTCGCCTCGCCTCGCCTCCCGGTGCGGTCCCTCCTCCCCCCGTCCTCCTGCCGTCCCTCCTCTCCCGTATTCGCACCACCTCCTCCTCCGCCTCCTCTGTCCCGTCTCCTCCGTCCTCTCCCTCTCTCTCTATCTTGTATGTTGTATCCCCGATGTCTCTCTCTTTATTGTTGCTCTCTCTCTCTCTCTCCCTCTCTCTCTCTTGTTTCTCTCTCCCTCTCTCTCTTTCTCCTCATCCTCCTACCCCATGAGACATCCACCGTCCTCCGTTCAGTCTTACCTCCAGTCCTCTTGCCCTTCCCGTTCCCGATTTTCCAAGCCTGGTGGTATCAGGTCTTGGATGGTCTCCGGAGGCCGCAAAAGACCCCCAAATGGAAAACAGCCACTGCTATCCACGATCATTGTCCTCCTCCTCCTCCACCTCCTCGTCCTCCTCCTCCTCGATACTTTTCCTTCTCCTTCTCCTGCTCCATCCTCCTCTTCCTCCTCCGCCAATAGTGTTACTATGATTCCTCCTCCTCCTCCTCCCCCTCCTCCTCCTCCTCCTCCTCCTCCTCCTCCTCTTCCTGCCAACCATTTGAAGATAATATCACATTCAGTGAACCTGGCGCGAATCTTATGGGGGAAATCACGGAAAACCAATACAACATGTTAAACGAGTTTCTTAGCGACGCTGCGGTATTATCACACATACAATACATGAAGAGCCATCGACAAATACCATTGGCCACAGACCATTACCTCGTCGCCTGCACCTTGGTATGCAAATTGAAAACGCCTCGCGAACGACAACATACAAGCGTCGCGCGCGAAGCTCTCCGGGACGACAGGTTACGACTACTCTGCGCAGAAAGGTTGTTGGAAAAAGTGCGAAATTGTTCAGTGACGCCCCAAAACGAACGGTAGAACATCTGCGGGACCTAGGGGTGCAAGCGGCTCAAGCTGCTACCGCTGTGCTCCCATCAACTTCAGCGGAAAAAAAGAAGCTGTGGATTAGTCAACGGACATTGGATGTGATAGGTTAAAGGAATAAGGCCCGACAAGCGAAGAACACTCAAGAGGAGAAACGTCTACGCAAACAGGTACTAATATCATGCAAACAAGATAAAGCACCTTGGATGGAAAAAAGGCATCTTGAACATGGGAATTGGGATGCCATGCGCGCTCGTTGCCGAGCACGCCCACGCAAACAAGGACGCCTGCAACATTTGGCGGGGGAGGTGGAAAGCTCCGAACGGGCAGACACGATGGTTGAGTTTCTGGAAAAAGTGCAATGGAGAGCACGACCAGCACAACTACTACCGACAGACCTTCTGGGGCCTACATTGCCAGCTTCCGAAGCTGCATTCACAACGCACGAGGTTGGGAAAGTGATTCAAAAACTCAACTGGCGCAAAGCTGCTGGAGCGGAGGGCATTCCAACAGAATGCTGGAAAGCAGTGGCACAAACACCCTGAGGTGTAGAATGGCTTACGACGTTGCGCAACGCATGCTGGTCCGAAGAAGCTGTTCCTCAAGCTTGGCGGCGCTCACTGGTAAGCACAATCTATGAAAACAAAGGGCCTGTGCACATCTGCGACAACTACAGACCAATCCGCATACTTTGCGTGGCGTACAAAATGGTGGCAAGTTTACTCTTAAAGCGATTGCAAGATGCTGGTGCTGAAGGCCGGCTCGATGCAACGCAGTTTGGCTTCTGCAAGGGGCGCGGCACAGCAACTGCCATACATGTGGTACGATGACGCATATAATTCCGCAATATAGGGAACAATTCTGGTTCAACATTCGTCGCGCTGGATTGGAAATAGGCGTTTGATTCAATTAGCGTGGAAGCGATGCTCACAGCCCTTGGAAGGTTCGGCATTCCAACGCGTCTCTTGGCAATTCTCAAAACCACATCTACTAACAGGAAATTATGCGTCGCAGATTGTGGGCAGAAATCAAGAGAGAGGCCGCAAAATTCTGGCATCGCACAGGGGTGCCTTTGTCACCGCTCTTGTTCATAATGGTGATGACAGTGATGATGCACGATGCGGTTGGGCTCCTTAGCAAACAATCAAAGACGTCACTTCAAAATGGTAACTTATCAGTTCTGTTGTACGCAGACGATACGATGATGCATAACAGACATCAGCGCGATGCCCAGCATTTCTTGGATGCGGTCGCAACAACTGATGGGCGAGTTGGCATGGAACTGCACTGGGATAAATTTCAATTTGTTTACGTAAACGACAAGATTTACATATATATATATATATATATATATACGCCTCGCGGGGAAGAAACACAGGCAAAATACAATTTGGTGCACCTCGGGGCTACAATCAACAATACTGGAGACATACATGCAGAATTAAACAAACGACTGGGGCCAGCTTGGGGGAGCTCTGTAGATATACGAAAATATGGAAGAACACTTCAATCAGCGTCAACATGAAATTTAGAATCGACCAGGCGATGGTCACAAACAAAGTCATGTATTCCTTCAGTTCGGCATGGTTCAACAAATCAGAAAAACGACGATTGGACAGCTTCCAAGCGAACTGCCTCAGGAAAATATTGGATATTCCCCCATTCCTTCATTTCTAAAGTATCAAACAAAACCGTTCTGGAAAGTAGCCAACAGCTACCTTACACATCGCAAATGTTGCATCAACAACTTCAGCTATTTGGGAAGATTGGCCGGGGCCCTAACATTCACTGATTCACGCGCTACGTGCGGCAACGCTTCAACGGGATAGTCTCATGCCCGTTACGCTGACTTACAAACGTGCGCGGGGGAAACCAAAATGAGAATGGGCAGCAGAATTGTTATTACTTGTTTCTTATTGTTTCCCTTACTCGGGAACCTTCATGGACACGGTCCGAGACAAGAGCAACTATCACAACTTCAGCATCAAACGTTCCAGGCCAACTGAGTGTCGAGAAGACGAATACTTATGATATGCATTGCATGGCTTGTGCGTCTTGGCAAATAACACACATGATTCATCATCTTCCTCCTCCCCCCCCTCGCCCTCGCGGCGCGCATTCGGCGCGTCCGGCCACTTGGGCACGCCTTTGGCGTGTAATCGTTTGCCCTTCGTCGTCGTCTTCCCCCTCCTTGCGCGCTCTCGGCGGGCATTTGACGCAACCTGGCCCTTTGGAATCGCGTTTGGCGTATCATCGTCTGCTGCTGCACGTTTTTGGCATGTCGCCCTATCTTTCTTTGCCAACGCGCATTTGGCGTATGGCTGCTTCGTTCGTTCGTTCCCCCTCTTCCCCCACTTCCTCCTCTTCCTCCTTCTCCTCCGGGCCCCCTCCTCCTAGTCCTCCTCCTTTTCCTTCTTTTCCTCCTCTTCCTCCTCCTCCTCCTCCTCGTCTTCCTCCTCCTCCCCTTCCTCCTCATCATCCATATCCTTTCGTTTTCGTCCTTATATTCCTCCTCGTCCTCCTCCTCCTCCTCCTCCTCTTCCTCCTCCTTCTCTTCCCTTTTTCATGCGCCTTTCCCTGCGCCTTTCCCTGCGCCTTTTCCTGCTTGTTGATTGTCCCCTGTCCTCGTCGTCGTCCTCCTCCTCCTCCTCTGCCTCCTCCCCCTCCTCGCCCCTCCTCGTCATCATCATCCTTATCCTCATCCTCATCCTCATCCCCCCCCCCCCACCACCACCATCATCATCATGACCATCGTCATCGTCACCATCATCACCATCACCAACAACATCCTCATCATCAGCATCATCACCCTCATCATCATCACCATCCGCACAATCATTACCAGCAACAACAACAACATAAGCATCAACGTCAACATCATCATCACGACCATATCATCTTTAACCCTTCTCCTTGTAGTTGTGTCTCCTCTTCCGCCTCCTCTTCCTCTGACCCATCCTCCCTGGTTTCCTCTATATCCTTCACTGCCTCCCCCTCCCTCCTCCCCTCCATTCCTCCACGCCTCTTCTCCGCCCGTCCTCTCGTCCCTTGGCAATCCCCCAACCATCCCTCGTCATCGTCGACGGCATGTTCGGCGTCGTCCTCATTGTATTCCCGCTGCTCCCATTCCCTGTTGGAGCTCTTGCTCTGCTCATCCATCCTCTTCCTCCATCCTCCTCTTCATCACCCTGCCCGTGCTTCCATTGCACAAACTCCTCAAATGTCGTCAGGCCTTCTCCCTCCTCGTCTTTCCCTACTTTAC